TTGGTTTTATAAGGGAAAAGGCTTAAATTTATCGATGAAGTATTCGATTTGTCTTACATTTGCTCTTAATTTTTATTTCGGTATGTAAAAACATCGTATCGTTAATTATGTCTGATCTAATTTCTGTCCAACTTAGCTCTAGCGTATGTCACGATGGAGTCACATAGACAAATATTATAAGAGCCAAATTTATCCCTAAAATATCAAATTAGTTTATTATATAATGCTTACTTTCTGAGACGTTAGGAGTCGCCACAAAAAACTCTATTTCTTGTAGTGACGTAAGTTGTACATTTTTTAGTTTACGTTGAATTATTGTTGAGATTGTTGGTTTTGCAAAATATCGCTTATGATTTTATGCTAAATAATTATCATTAATGAAGCATCAATTTTATTCTATCTTTGCATGCAGAGATTTCAATAAATTATTGATTTCGCATGCTAAATTTAAAATACTAAATTCAACAACTTATCGAATATGGAAATATGATAACGAAGTCTTACCAAACTACCAAGTCTCAGAAATGTTTAGGTCTTCTTAAATACTATTTTTCCTAAAAAACTCATTATTCCAACTATAAATAGGATAGTTGTGAAGGCAAAACAAATAAATTATAACAAACCTTCATACAAAGAATGGCTTCAATTTTCTTGATTATCATTTTTGTTGTGTGTTTTATCTTGTCTCAATTCTCATCTTCTTTTGCACACAAAACACCAACTGTTCATTTTATTAGCAAATTAGTTAATGGGACAGAATCAGTCCAAATTAATTGCAAAGCAGGCGGATTCCCTGTGATTTCACAAGCTCTTCAACCAGGCCAAGATTTTTCATTTAAAGCATATAAAGTGAAAAATACATATTATTGTGTAGCCATAGCCCATATGGGGTTTGCAATTCACTTCTATTGATGCATTTGAACCAAAAAGAGACAAAGGCTATCATAATATCTATTGATTGGTTAAAAAAGATGGTTTTTATCGCAGTTGGAATAAGTTCATTGGAAGTTGATTGATGGATGGGACCGCAAGATATGATTAGAGACGAACACAAGATATAAAAGTCGGAGACGGAGTCAGGATTTGAACTCATTTGTATAATATTGGTTTTACAAGTATAAATTATTCTATAAGTTCGTTTTACAAGAAAGAAGAATTACATGTTTCTTCTAGAATTTGATCTTCTCTTTAATTTATTCATTGCCCGATTTATTTAAGATTAATATAATCACCTTCTTCCCTTTGGCACGTAATTTATAAGACCAAACAAGATAGTATATATAGATGGTAGCGCATTAATTCCAATAGTAACAGCTCACGGATTATTTTACCAGAACTAGGTTTAATTTGCTAGCAGTATCATTAGCCATCTTTGATCCAAAAGTTAAGGGCTTTGACTTACATTTGACGACTTAAATCCATCGGGCGAATCCTTAATCCCATCATATAAAAATGAACTTAAGACAATTAATGGAGTATTGGGCGACTCATCACCATTCAAACACAATGCAAATGGAACTTGGGCGGCGTCAATAGTGTGTAAAATACACATAATTAGTATATATATATATATATAAAAGCTAGGAATAATAAATATTTTTGGTCGAGCGATAAAATATATAACATTAAAAAAAAAATTAATGTCACAAATGACATTGAAAGTGGTCCCATGGGCAGGTGGTTACCTGCCCCAAAGGCCAAAAGTTAAAGACCATCCTTAAAGTGTCATATTTCTGTCATTTAAAAACAATTGGGCCCATTTAGTCCCAAATCAAATGAAGTCTATAGTGGGCCCATTTGAAAGTAAGGTTCTTATATTCTGTTTGGCCAAGGTTTTAAATTCTGCTTATTTTGAGAAGTATTTTTTTTTTCAAAAGTACTTTTCAAAAAATATTTTGGTGAGAATCGGTTTGTGTTTGGTTAATTAATTTGAAAAATACTTTTGAGCAGTAATTAGTGTTTGGCCAAGCTTTTGAAAATTATTTCTAAGTGTATTTTTCTCAAAAGTGCTTCTTAGAAAAGTATTTTTGGAAAGAAACTATATTTTTCTGCTTCTCAAAATCCGTTTATTTTTCTCCTCAAAAGCACTTTTTTCCTTCTGAAAGTTTGGTCAAACATCTCAATTTTTGGCCAAAAGCACTTTTGGCCAAAAAAAATACTATTTGCCCCAAAAAAAAGCTTGGCCAAACAGGCTATTAGCCCAAAAAAAAGTTAACTAGCTTTCTTCCTTAAATACCCAACCTCTACTACTAATTCGCTCGCTTTGACGTTGAAGGTTTACTCATGGTAGAGTAACCTACCTCAAAGGCCAAAAGTTAAAGATCACCCTCATAGTGTTATATTTCTATCATTTTCAGAAACAAGAAAAATATTGGGCCCCATGTTGCCCCAAAACAAATGGAATCTATAGTGGCCCATTTGAAAATAAAGGCTTTAGCCCAAACAAATAAGTTAATGTCAGTTTTCTTCCTTAAATACCCAGCCCTTCACTACTAATACTCGCTTGAAAAATTAACCCAAATAGCCGCCTATCCTACAACTTAAACTAAAAATAGCCAGTGAATGTATATTATATGCATAATTTATTTATGTATAATCTATGTATATGGCTAGAAAAAATAAATACTTAATATGACCGGCTATTTGTGTAAAAATCCCTACTCACTTTGACCTTGAAGATTTACCAATGTTTAGGTAACCTATCTCAAAGCCTAAAAGCTAAAGACCGTCATTATAGTCCTATTTCTATCACTTCCAAAAAAAATGTATTGTTCCCCATTTGGCCCCAAAAAAATGGAGTCTATGGTGGCCCATTTGAAATGAGGGCCTTTTAGCCAAAAATTAAATTAAATTCAGCTTTCCTCCTTAAATACCCAACTCTCTATTACTAATTCTCTAGCTTTGACCTAGAAGGTTTACCCACGGTCAGGTAACCTATCTTAAAGGCCAAAAGTTAAAGACCACCCTTATAGTGTCCTATTCTGTATTTTCAGGCCAAAAAAGTAGGGATTGTTACACAAATAGCCGGTTAGATTCATTGTTTACTTTTTCTAGCCGGTATACATAAAGTATACATAAATTATATACAATTACATATATGATACTTGAATTCTATGTATATTATATATTTTTCTGCTATTTTTAATTTAAGAGATTAGGTGGGCGGCTATTTGGGTTAATTCCTCGAGGGATTTTTTCGTTCCTATACACTATTTGAAACTTTATTATCAAAAATGTCCACGTTTAGTTAATTACCCGACCTAAACAAGTTTTATCTACAAAATATATACATTCTACTTTAAAAGGCTCTCAATCCATTATTAGTGCCTTCAATCAAGGGATTTAGTTGCACCATTCTCCTTTTTTCTCTCCTCTTTCCCCTTTTCTCTCCGAATCTTCCACCCTTGCCGTAATTTAAGCTAACTATTGTATCCCTTGATTTTAGTTTCCAATTTTGGTAAAATAAAAATATCCCTCACAAACTTCCTAATTTTTCCTCCATCCAATTCATCTATCTTTACACACAAAGCACTCAGTTGACTATCATTAAAAGAAATTCGAAAATCTAAGCTTCATATGTTTTCAATTAGTTCCCTAGATGTCGGAATCAATTATGGTGCACCAAATTTAAACTTGTCCATCATAAGATTTGATGCTTTACGATCTGTAAACGAAGAGTGGCAAAAATCCTTCACAGTCTCTTATCTATACAAATCCTATAATAGCTTATTTCTTCCTTTTGCCTTTCGTTTCTTTTTCTATATTTTATGTTTTGGTGGACTGACAGAAGGAATAATTTTTTTTTACAATTCCCCCTTTATTTGTTAAAATGTTGATTTTTTTTTTGCCGTAATATACCATCGAAACGTGTTTGGCAGTCAGAAGTGGATTCAGGATTTGAACTTTATGGGTTCAGATTCGCAGTTATATTACATCTCATCTAATTTATCTACAACTTTCATACATTATTTCTACCCAGTTATATACAACTACAATATCATACCACTTAAATAAAATTTGTATACAAATTTTATACATTATGTCTTTTGTATATTTTATATCTCATTTATATATAGTCAAAACAAATTTCACACAACTAATTATATATTATACAATTTATCAACAACTTATCTATAACTTTCATACATTATTTCTACCCCAGTTATATACAACTACAATATTATACCNTATATAAACAACAAAATATAATTTTATTATAATTTTACTACAATTTCGTAAGTATAATGTATGTCATGTCTTCTTCTTCTTCTTCAGTCTGAAATTCAGCCAAAATCAAATCTAATCTTCATCAAAACACCCTCAAGATTGAGATATAAACTCCAAACAATATTCCCAATTGTTTGCAACCACACCCAATCCAAACAAATAATGGTTTTTGAAAATTCAAATTCGAATTCAAAGCTTCAAAGCTTATTAATGGCTATCAATGGTGGAATTGCTGCTCTCTTACTGGAATTAGGGCTGATCTTCGAAAGTGTTTTCTTTTTCATTGAAAGTTAAGCAAGCAATAAGCATTAATGGAGGTGTGTGGTAGAGTATTAAGAGCTTGAATCTATAAAAATAGAGAGGGATTTTTTAAGAAGAGTGAAAAGATATTGAGGAATTTTTGAAGAAGAGTGAAAACATGCGTTAATGGAGGGAGATACTGAAGATACGTGGGGGTGTGTGGAGAGAGAAATGTGGGGTGGGTGTGATATAAACGTTAGAGTGATTTTAGGATTTAATTATTATCATTAAATACCTAAAAATGTACATAATTGGTAATTTTGTATATACTATGTAATTAGATTAAAACTTGAGTAGGGAGGGTAATAAAGTTTTAAATAGTGTATATGAATGTAAAAATTTCATTCCTCAAAACGTACTGGGCCCCAAATCAGATGGTCTATAATGGCCCATTTGAAAGTAAGGGCCTTAGCCCAAAAAATAAGTTAAAGCCAGCTTTCTGCCTTAAATACCCAACCCTCTACTGCTATTCCCTCGCTTTTCCATATTCCTATCTAGACGACAAACTTCGCTTTGCTCCGGAATCAATTGTATGTACTTTTTTTTGCTCCGACCAAAACCCTAACCCCTAATTTTAATTGTAAACAAATTTTTTTTACTGATTTTGCATCAATATTTATTTATTTGCTTTACTTTCTCAAAGAATGCATCAACCTTTATATCATTGTTACTTGTGATTATTGCGATTTTTTTATTGTTAAATATATGTTTTTTCTAGTTAAATATAGTATTTTTTATTTGCTTCTCATACGATAGTAGCTCAAAGTTGTGATGGTAATAGGGTGATTTGTACTTTATAATATTAGTAATACCTTTTGTGTCAAAATTTCTGATTGTTAAAGGGTGGATTGTACATGTATATTGATTGTGTCAAAATTCTTGTCTGATGTGTTTTGTGTTCAAGGTATATCTCTAACTAGTAGTTCTATCATTTTATTTTGCTATAAATTTCAGAGGAGCAGGGTTCTTATTCTAGGAGAGCGACATCAATTGCTAGTAACTAACTAGGTTTTGGATTTCTTAACACATATACAGTGTTGGGGCCAAAGGAGGACCCAGGATTTGAAGGTCACGGGTGCACTTTTGAATTCGACCAAAATCTGCTTTATATATAAGGTGTCCACTATTAATATAGCACTATTTCTTAAAGACATACATGTATACATGAAATTTTTGGCGTACTTTACTTGTGCCGGTGACCCCTCCTTTTATAGCATAGGTCAGCCTCTGGCTGGGGCCTAAGCTACTTGTTCGAATCCATGTCTTAAAAGGTACATCCACTCCTGGTAACAATAGCCTTGTTTTTTTAATTTTTGAATTTAGTAGGGCAAAGATGACTCTATCGGAAGAGGAGCTCTCGAGACTTTTCAGAGTTCGTAGGACACTGATGGAAATGTTGGCGGATAGGGGTTACCTTGTTGGAGAGTTTGAGATAAATATGTCAAAACATCAGTTTCTTCAGAAGTATGGTGAGAATATGAAGAGAGATGACCTTGTTATTCAGAAAGCCAAGCGCAACAATAGTTCTGAGCTGGTCTGTGCTCTTTTAATTTCCTTTCTTGCCTAATTTTTAACTAAGGTATTTTAATAATAGTGGGACCGAGGCTTAGTTGGTGTTGGCAATCTTAACTAAGCTTACTGTCAGTTTATTTGCAGTCCTTTCTTGTCTAAGGGTTTTGATCTTTCCTTTAATAGATCAACTTTTTGGGTTTTGTTTTACTTATCCAGCAAAAGAATTGATTCTTTTCCAGGTTTTATGGGTTAAGTTACTCCTTTTCTACTAGTATGTTAGTATACTCTGTCACTTCATTGTATAACTGAAGATTTCATTTTGATAAAGTCTAAGAGTATCTTGTCATTGTTGTAATAGATGCTCTTGACATTGGATAAACTATCTTGCCGAAGACAAGTTAAGGGGATATCATAGAAAGATGGCTATTTCTTTCCACCACATAGTGCAGTATACATATTTTATGTTAAACAATGTTGTCCATTATCATGAAGAAAAGGGAAGGAAAAAAAGTTTGTCAATTAGAAAATGAAAACACATTAAAGGTTAATTATGGATAAATGACCCCAATATAATAAATGTAATTGGGAAGGACATTCAAAAAAATCAAAGTTGGACTTCTCCAAAGCAAAAGGAAAAATCCTGATCGTGAATCAAACTTTTTCTGAGACCTAGGAGAATGAAAAGAAGAAAAAGCTCGTCATATCTACAAAACAGATAAAAGACTTAAAGATAAAAAGTGTATTTTTGTACCCCAGAGCTTTTGTCTAGCGGTAAGATTGCAACACGTGATGTGTGGGTTTAGGCGCACGTCAAATGTTCGAATCTTGCCGAGGATAAAAGTCTAGTATTTAAGTGGTGACCGGAGAAGGGTAGAGGGACGAGCCTATTACCCCCACCAATTTTAGAACCGTGCACCATTTTACCCTAGGGGATTTCTCAGTTATCAGAAAAAATAGGAAGTGTACTTCTGTAGGATATAACAACTATGCCTCAGTACCAAGCTAGGTGGGGACAGTGGTATGAATACTCATTATCCATGTCACTCCATTTGGACATATTTTCTATATATATAGCAACGAGTTCAGTGTTGGACTTGTTCACAACATAAAGAAAAAACATCGGTGGATATAAGGAAGAAAAAGGAAACTAGAAAGGGGAAAGAATGTCTCCTTATTTTTTAGTTCAATAATGGAAAGCGATATGCATATAGTTCAGAATCCAGGAACACCAAAGTTGGGAATTGGAGTTGTAGTTGTAGTTGCAACTCTACCTTGCATCACTTAGGTGTAAAGTTACAATCTCGGTAGAGGCTTTCCTGCATCTTCCTTTCCCTCCCTACCCGACTTTTCACTGTAATCCCCGTACCAAAGGAATTGAAAATGTTCAATATGAAAGCAACAGAATTTTGCTTGTAAAAATGCTTTTGTAATATAGTAACTAAGGAAACAGTTGATGGGTAATGTGATATGACAATTTGTCCTTTGAATCTGTTTTGGTCTGTGTTTAGCATAAAAATTTTCAGATGCTTTTAGCTACTTCAACATTTGAGTTTCTTGCATTTCACTTGGAATAATTTGTTCAGCGAAATTATTTGCTACCCATGTCTCAGCCATTTTCTTGGTTTATTGAATCCAGATATATGTGTTCTTTCCAGAGGAGGCAAAGGTTGGTGTTAAGACAATGAAAACTTATACGGAGCGCATGAAAAAAGAAGATGTCTTCCAGGCAATTCTCGTTGTACAACAAAATTTGACTCCCTTTGCTCGTACCTGCATTTCTGAAATATCTACAAAATTCCATTTGGAGGTTTTCCAGGTGACTACTTACTATTTCTACAAATATTTTGTCCTTACTACTTTGAGCGAAGGATTGAAATTGTTATAAAATAGCTGAGGAGCTTAGTTTACTCTACTTTTGTGATCATTTTTTTGTTATCTTTTCTATTTGGTTTTTTGGATTTTGGTCTAACTATTGTTCATTTGAGCACCTGGCACTACATCTCAAGTAGTAGGATCATCAAAATCAGAGGTTATTGTGATTTGCAGCCATGTGCATATTGATAGGGGGGGTTATACAAATATGAAATTTATCAATTCATCTTCTTTGGGTTTTGACCGAGTGATTCTACTGGCATTTTCACTCATATGAAGGATTATTTGGTATTCCTCCTTATTCATTTTTGTGGTGTGGGAGGGCCGGAGGGGCGACATTTTTGTTCTTTGTTTGACTTGGTAATCGGGGAGCTTGCATTTTGCACCTTTAGTTGCTTTATGTGATTGATAATTATCCATTTAGATAGTGAAAATTGGTCCCTAATCATCGTGCTATGTGCTTAATGTTTCAGGAAGCAGAGCTGTTGGTAAACATAAAAAATCATGTTCTAGTTCCGGAGCACCAGCCACTTACTCCTGAAGAAAAGAAGACCTTGTTGGAACGATATACTGTGAAAGAAACACAGGTTCGTGTTGATAACATTATTGCACTTGTTAAACTTTTGACCTCATATAATACATTAAAAACCAGGAGACACATGGTGCCTTCATAATTTTGAAGGCAGAATCTTTTACTGCTAGTGTGGTTAAGAGTGAAAGAATTAATGCGATGGCTTTGTATTCCCTTCAACCTATTGTGAATGAAATCGAAGATAGAGAAAGGAAGAAGATAAAGCAGCATGCTTCCTTATAGTGTTAAAGCCAAAATTGTCGTGATCTCCCTTAATAGTCTAGAAATTAACCAATTTTTTTTTTGCGTCCTATTTTGTGTGAAAGATCATTTGAACCCTTGTGTCGAATAGCTATTCGTCTATGTTAATACATTTCTATAGCTTAACTTCTATTATGACTTGGGTTTTGGCTGAGGGGAATTTTTTTAAGGAACTAGGGTCCAGCTGGGAGGCTTGCCCAAACGTATCTACGGCTTGAACAATTCAGTTATTATATTGAGTTATGCTTTGATGAACCTAATGTTTGTTAATTGAGTAGCTTTGATGAAAAAACTACCAGCATGCATTGATTATTGCTGTCATGGCCTAGTTCTCTTATGCTTCTACCATTTGGCGGATTGTTTTGTTCCTGTCATCTTGGTTAGCGCTGCCACTTTTGACTTGTGCTATTTGGATAATCGTGGTTGATTACTATTGCATCTTTCTATCTAATCGAATGCCTAATCATTTCTTCTGTTAAAACAGCTTCCTCGAATTCAGATAACGGATCCTATTGCTAGATATTATGGGCTAAAACGGGGCCAAGTCGTGAAGATTATCAGACCAAGTGAGACTGCAGGCCGTTATATTACTTACCGATATGTGGTTTGAGTTAGTTTTGACGTTTTCACCAGTTGAAATGTAAGCACTGACCAAAAAAGTCAAGTGATGTAGTTGTTTCCTTCCCATTTTCTTCCTGTTTTTCTTTTCATATGAAATTATGAGAGACCAATTTATATGTAAACTACACCTCTGGGCTCTGCATCTTTTTCCGAGGTTGACCTGGTTCTGACTTCTGACCTCTAAAATGTGCACAAAATCAATGATCATAGTAATCATGTGTAACATCTGTTAGTTTGTATTGTTGCTTCTGCTATACCGTGGAAGCTAGCCATAAAAAGCACCCTTAGAACGAGAACACCAACCAGCTGAAAAGATTGTACTCCCAACCTCCAAATCTTTCCTCTTTTTTATGTTGCTTTCACTGATTAATTCAGATTTGCGTTGTGTAGAACTTATTAAGGGGGAAGTGTACCCTATCTTTCTCCACTCTTATGACTCGAACTTAAAACCTAGTTAAGGTGGACGATCTTATCCATCTCCAAATCCCTTGGTAATCCCAATCTATAAAACAAGGAGAGATGAGGACCAGTCTCAACACGTTAGTACTCTCTTTCTGTTCAATTTTAGTTGTTTATTTTTGACTTTGCACTCCCTTTAAGAAAAAATAAACGAAGTGTGTATTTTACAATTTTATCCATAATAATGATAGCATTTCAAAAAGTCTTGAATTAATTTGAGGAATTAGTAGTTAATGCTAAAGGGTAAAATATGAAAAAAGATTGTATTTCTCTTGATTTGCTAAAATGGATAAGTAAAAGTGGAAAAATATTTTTAGTATAGTGGACAAGTAAAAGTGAAGGGATTGAGTAATTCTTAAGAACCGTCTATAGAATTCCTTAAGTTCAAGACGGAGATTAGCCATAAACAATTTCAAATTTTGAAAATCTTCACAGCATGGATGCAATAATGAGAATATCCAGCATCCAATGGTTGAAATATCAATTTCAGCCATGTACTAAATTGAGAACTTTGCCATATAACTTCCATTAGTATTTTTAGGTCTAGCCAACAAAATGTACATTGCAGTACAAGAAAACAAAAAGAAAACTTCAACAAGAAGTACATCAGGTAGACACTCTCCAGAAAAGGTAAAGTTGATCAAACACCTCTAAGAATTAGGACAAGTGTAAACACTTCTATCAGAGCAAACTGCAACTTCCCCAACCGTCAAAAGGGCAGGCATTCCGTATTCATACACGATCCGGGAAAGGGGCGTAACCCAAAGGTTATGATGCAGACAATCTACCCTAACGCAAGCATTGTTGCTCGAACCCGTGACCTATAGATCACACTGAGACAACTAGCTCCCCGACCATCAAAACATCTTATTGGTAGTAACTCTCCATCAACTAGTCAAAGCAGATTTCTTCGTCTCAATACACAAAATTTCATCATTTCCAAAACCATGCAAATGAAGAAGCAAAAAGTATTGCTTGAAACTTGAAAATTCCCTAGTGAATTTGATGGAAATGAAAACAAATAATATGGTTCAGTAACCTTCTAGCCATAACAACAAACCTAGACTCCATATTAATTATGCTAAAAGAAAAAAAAGGTCAAGAAAATATGCTATAGACTCAACACTAATTAACCTGCCCTATATATCAACATACTTCATGTAGTAATCCTCCTATATTCCAATCCTCTGCTTCCTCATCTCCAAAACTTTCCTATGAGAATTTGAATGTAAATCAGCTGAAAAAGTAGGACTATTCGCGGGGCGATACTCAGGTAACAACCTTCCAGACTTATACCGGACCCCACAAGCGTTGCAGAGCGTCTTAGGTCCCATAGGACCTGCACGCCATTGTGGGGTCTTATCGACCCCACAATGCTGACATCTCCTACCAATGCTAGCTCTTCTAGCTTTCGTCATTGGTAATGAGAGCAATTCCCATTCTTGCTTATTATTCTTGAATTTCAATTTTCTTCCCCATACGCAACGCTCATTTGTCAAGTCAGCGAAGCTAATTCTTCGCCTTCTCTTACCCCGTGCACGCACGGGTAGTTAACAGGAACTTGTAGGCTGCTACAGCCAATCATAAACGCGTTTTCCTTGTCGTTTATATTGCAACTGTTATTGTTAGCGCTGATACTGCTACTGTTTTCCAATACTGAAACTGGACTGTGGTGATCAAATATGACATTCGGGATATTTTCGGAGAATATATCAAACTCTACTGCTGGAAATGCATCTTTATTTGAAAGCCATTCCAATTCTTCCTCTACAGATTCCTGCAATATGCACTGTTAATACTATGATATTTCAATTCATATGATGTTTGATTGGCTCGAAATTTGAAAAGAATAAATAAATTTAGAATTTGTGATTTAAAACATACGATGATATTTATTTAACTATAATGACATGATATTAAAGATAAATAAAATATTTAGGAGGGAATATAATATTTTGTAGGGCTAATGTTGAATAAGAAAAAGTCAATTCCAAAAGAATTTGTATATAGGGACCAAAATGTCTTTTTATATTTATAGAATGCAAGTGGAAGTCAGATACGTCGTATTATTCGTACAGCTCAGTGCCTCGTGATAACCAAAGTACCAATCATAAAGATATGTCGGCCATATTTTTAAGTCCAAAAATACCCTCAAATTTAATTTCCAAAAGTGCCCCTATCATTTCTTAGCAAAGAAAATTGCAAAAACTACTATTTTCTTATCTGAATGGAATTTTCTTAGGGTTTTGAAGGGTAAAATAGTCCAAATACAGAAATTCTTGAACGCCTCCACTTTTGTCAGAGGGTATCTTGTTCCCTCCGCCGGAAAATTGTAGCGTTCCATTTTGTTTGAGCAATTTCTTTTATTAGTTCACACAAAAAAAAAACGATATGTTACATTATTTTCTTAACGAAAAGCTTTAATAACACAAGTTTCAAATGTCGTATATACTATATAGCCAAATAAATATTATAGTACATTTAAAATCACAAATTTTATAAGTTCCTCTAAAAAAAATTTAAAAGAAGGGTCAGCTCGGTACATAAAACATCTATCGTTCATGCAGGGTATGGGAAGAACCGCATCCCAAAGTGTACGACATAGACGACCTATCTTAATGCAAATATTAGTGGTTGTTTCAACAATTCGAACTCGTGACCTACAGGTCACACAGAGACAACTTTACCGTTATCTTATCGCTCCCCTTAAAAAATTTCTTTCAAAACTTTATGTCAAATTAAACTAAGACAAACAAAGTGAAACGGGTGGAAATATCAATCAATGACTTACATGAAATGAACGGCTATGATCATCCGGGAGAAAGCTAATGTTGTTTGAAGAATCCAAAGAAGAAAAAGAAGAAGAAGAAATAGAAGGGTGTTTCTCTTCATCCAAAGAGAAGTTCAAAATATCATCATCAACCATAAAACAAGCTGTTGAATCCAAATCCTCAATCATATTCATTTCTTTCAACAAAGAAAAAACTTAGAAAATTTTTAGAATTGAAGAAAAAATGAAACTTAGTTTGGTTCTTTGGCTTTGAGTTGGTTTGAATTGGTTGACTGAGAGAGATATTAGGGAGAAATAGTGGGTGAGAAGAGACTTAAGAGAGAGAGATTGATCTCTTTCCTCTCTCTTTCTTTTTAAGGCATATAGTTGTAAACTCTATTATTGTTACCAATAAAGCTAAATTTTTTTTTTGGATGGCAAGTTGGCAACACGAGGATGTTGATTTTTTGCTTGTTTTTTAATTTTATTTTCTTTCCTTTTACGTTTGCACATTGAAATGATACCGTGCTTATCTTGTATAGTCAAATCTCTCTAAAATAATACTCCATACGTCTCATTTTAACAGTCGTAATTATTAAAAATAATTATTTCAAATTATTTATCACTTTAAAAGTTTAAGATAAAATTAATTATTTTTTTCTTTTTTATCCTTAATAATAATTATCCTTAAATACTACAAATACCTAACTTTGTTCAAATACTAATGAAGAAAAGATTAAATATTAAGACACAAATAAGGGTAAAGTAGTCAAAATTCTATCTTAATTAATTTTTCTTAAGGGGCGTATACGATAGAATCATAACAGATAATATGAGACGGATGGAGTATAATTTGTTTGATTTCTTTTTTGGATATTATAGTGACTGTTGTTATACAGAACATATAATATAACATAACACGATAAATTATTTAAAAAAATAATTGTTATAGTAAAATGTTATTATAGAGGATATTTATTATAGAGAGGTCTGACTTTACTTGTTATTTCTGGTTTTATATGATATAATTTGATTGAATACGAAATTTTAAAATAAAGTTATTTTTGGTTTTATATTTTTAAATATGTCGTAAAAGTTTAACTATAAAGTTAAATTATTTTTAAATATAAAAATATAGTACTATTTTTTTTAACGAACTACTAAGGAAATACTAGTATTATGTAAATTGAAATGGAGAAGATAGCCTATTATTTATATCTCTTGTCTCATTTTTTTAAAATTTTCATCAAACATTACAAAATTATGGAGCAAAATTATTTTTCTAAATTGAAGAGAAGATTGGTAGTAATAAAATTGCATTTACTTTCTTCATTTAAGATTTTAGACCAAGAGATAAGTTTGACTCAAGAATTTGGGTGAGATTGGCTTGATTCAGTAACGGATTTGTAAGTGTGTTCTTAATTATGAGGTTATCATTATATTGAGTATATTGAATGCTGAAATAAATCTAAGTTATGGTGAAATAATAATTCCTATTAAACCATGCATCAATTTTCACTATTTGCCAAAAATATCCTTTTACCAATGTAAATAATTTAGATACTACTTCTATCTATTTTACTTGTCTACTATACTAAAAAGAGATAATCAATTTTACTTGTTCAGTTTTGAAAATTAAGAGATAATTTTACCTTTTTTATTTAATTTACCATTATTATTAAATACTACTAATCATTTTGAATTTATTTTCTAATATTCTAATTAAGGGTGGTATAGTTAAATTATTATTTTATTAATTATTTCTTAAGAGGTGTTCCTAATCAAATATGAACAAGTAAAAATTGACGGAGAGAGTACTTAAATAATGTTAATTGTGGTTCTAATATGAAAGTGAATTTGAAATTAAAATTAACACTAAACAAGATACAGAGACATTTAATCTAGTTCAAATT